TGAACTCTTTTCCTCATGCCAGAAAAGTAGGTCGGGCCTGGGGATTAAGTGAGCTAATGCACCAAGGGCTTAGTAAACCAAAAAACACCAGGGTAGCATAGGGCATCATTACTCGGTGAGCTAAGAAGATGCCTAGTCAGGAAAATCATATAAATGCTAATTCTTCTGGCTGGTGTCTAGTGACACAATTTTCTTATGTTTTAGTTCTTATCAAGACCTCCCAGAGGTTTCCTCAGCAATTTGCATTTTATTTATTTAAGTTTTTGGTGTTTGGGATTTTTGCCCATACTAGGCAAGTGTTCTACCACAGAGCTACCACAGAGCCCTTGTATTTTATAATAAGGAATATCAAAAAGAAATGTGAGGTGAAATATTATGTGCACATACCAGGTTGTCATTTTAAGGTGTCAGTATTATTTTTAAAATATGTATTATTTTTATTTTATGTATATGAGTGTATTGCCTGCATGTGTGTAAGTGTACCCATGTCATGCAGTGCCCACAGGGGTCAGAAGAAGGTGCCAGACCCCCTGGAACTGGAGTTACAGATGGTTGTTAGGTGCCATGCAGGTGCTGGGATTTGAATCCAGTCCTCTGCAAGAGCAGTCAGTGTTCTTAACTACTGTGCCATCAGTGTCCAGCCCCAGTGTCATTTTTTTAACTCTCAGAACAGTTCAGCAAGCTCTGTACTATTATTTGCTTGCTACCAATGAGGAGCTACATATTAAGTAATCCACACCATCTACAACCTGGAACTCAAGGGACTCTACCTTCTAGAGACCCCCTGCACCTGAACTGAATGTGCACATTTTTCTCCTGACTGCCTATTTCTTCAACTTTGCTTTGCTGCAATTTCATCTTCTGTGCGTCTACTCAGGGCTTTTCCTCCACAAACGTGTTTACCGTCTCCTTTCTTCCCTCCCCAGGTCCCTTTCTCCAGACATGCCATTATTGTCCACCCTCTTTTGTTTCTGAAATGGGTCTGTGAGCTGTGCTGGAGACACACATTCTCCACCACGTTCTTCTCTGAATATGAATTATAGCCACAGGCATGTAATAGGTCCAGAACAAAGGTGAAGTGAGACCCGGAGCTGACATGTTTTGTAAACATAGCTTACAAACTGAATGCTCAGTTCTGGAAGGGAGTATGCTTATTCCCCTAATTGGAGCCAGTATAGTCTGGATTCATGGCATCTCTTTTTTTTTTTTTTTTTTTCTGGGTTCTCTGGTCCATATTATGGGTAAATCATTGGAATGCTGCTAAGTAATGTGCTGATCACTGAAGCAAGGCCTCAGAGCTGCTTTTACCCATACTCCTTCCTTCACCTTAGGCGTTATCAACATCACTATTTTTCATCTTTATCGTGCCCTTCCGTAGAGGCATTCAATAATGTACCCATTGTGCAAGTAATCTGAAATCCTTTTCGGCGAGCAATAGTATTTAGTAGTAATAAAACACTAATTTGTCTACCAAGTGACATATTTATAGGAGCTGTTTACTTTGACATATTTTTATTATTTCTACTCATTTGCTAAGTACTTTCCAATACATATTTATGAAGCACATGCCTTTCCCCAAACAGTAGTGAAAAAATAAATCATATTATTTCTGTTATTAGCAGCAGCAAGGCTTCTAAGTCCCAGTGCCCTGATTTTTGTTACTTCTGGCAGGAGCCAGAAGAACTAATGGTGATTGAGCACCTACTATGTGCCAGGCTCTCTGTAAAAGGCACTTTTCCATAAATCATCTGTTTAATTCCCTTGAGACACACATTTCACCAATAAGGAAAATGTAATTCCCTGCAACATAGATTTCTACTAGTAAAACAAACACATTATCTTGTCCAAGGAACTCAGCCAGAAAGGGCACAGTAAGGTTTGAACCTAGATCTTTTCTTCATTACAGAATCCAAAATCATCATGCCACTTCACCACCCTCCCCCTCCCCCAACTTCAGGACCTAATACTATGTAAAATCTAAAGTGTTCCTAGGAGAGTTACCCCCTAAGAAGTCAGTGATAAGCTGTGTGCCAAAAGGCAGTGTGAGTACAAGAGATGAATTCATTCCAGAAGACAAGACTGGTTACATAATTTGTAAGCACAATATGGGGACCCTTGGTCAAAAATCCAGACAGACACCATCTTCCTGAGCTCAGCTGAGCCAGCCTACCCAAGATCATCATAGCTGAACTTGTTAGCTGCTGATGCACCCCTAAACTCAAGGAAGGATGGGCAGGGAGAGTCATGGGACCCTCACCAGAGTATCCAGCCACACCTCCCAACCAGTGGTGGGAACTTGGACCCTAAATGTACGTGGCCTGAGGTAGGGGCTAGAGTTTATGAGCTGGGGAAGACTAAGGAGAGTAGGCTGTGTTTATGTAACTATGGGCTATGGGGAAGCTGTCTTCCATGCTTGGTTGAAGACTTTCTGGCATGGCCATATGGGTAGAGCACCCACAGTCCTGTAAGTGACACTTTACCCATTACTCTGTAAGTAAGCCCAATAAACTCACTGGTTTTCCAGAGTGCATGTTGGTGGAATCATATCTCTGTTTGTCATTGGGAACAACAGAGGAGGGGGTGGACATCATTTACATACCCTCCCCAAAAGAAATTTCAGTAACACCTTCTAAGACAGGGGTCCTGTGTGACTACACTGGTCACACTGCCATGAAACTGGTCCTGCTTAGTCAGAAGGTCCCCACCAGCATCTCTGATGACATCATGAACCTCTGAATGGTGTAAGAGTGAGGACCTACTATATACCTGAAAAAGCACTGGTGTGTCACATAAGCCAGATAGTCCTAAAAGAAGTCTATGAAGCTGGCATTGTTCTTCTCATTACACTGTAGATGAAACTAAGGCTTAAAGAAGCCAAGTTATTCATCCAATGTCAGGTAGCCAGAGCTGAGACCTGGTTAGTTAAGATGTTAAAAAAAATCCTGTTTTGGGGGCTGGAGAGATGGCTCAGTGGTTATGAACACTGAGGCCCACATGGCAGCTAACAACTGTCTGTAACTCCAGTCCCAGGGGATCCGATAGCCTCTTCTGACCTCTGCGGGCATGGCATGACACAGGTGCACTTACTTAAATGCAGGCATAACACTCGTACACATAAAATTAAAAAAAAAAAAAAAAATCCTGTTTCTTAGTTTTGTATCCCCAACAGACCAGGCCTGCTGTCTTCCAGCCAACTCCAAACATAAACGGAGACTGTTATACCCAGAGGCTGAAGGGAGTCAAGGAAGAACAGGGATTCAAGCTTACTGAAGGGGCTACAAAGTGCACTCACTGAAGCACACTGACCATGCCTAGGATGTGTGGGCCTTCCAATTTGCTAGGAGAGAGAACTCCATGCACAGACAAGTAATGAGCAATTCCCAGGCTCCCTCTAGGACTGATGGAAACACCGTGAGGTCTTTACCATGACGAGAGATTTGAGGAATCTGACTTAATAATAAAACATTGGTGAGAGCCCCCCAGTACATTCAACAATAAGACAAAGCTGTTGTCTGCTGTTGCTCCTGTATTACATATCCTGACCAGTGCACTAGGGCAAGAAAAAAGATAAGAAGCATTCATGGTAAATGTGTGTGTGTGTGTGTGTGTGCAAAGCTTGGTATAGGATGTCCCTTCAGCTTTCTGAAGCCTGGTGTGTGTGTGGGGAGGGGGGGGATTACTGACAAGCCAAGCCTTTGCTCTTGATTTCCCACAGAGATGAAGAAAAAAAAAAAAAAAAAAAAAAAAGCCTGGTGAATTGGCACAAGCCTACAATCCCAGTACTCAGGAGGTCAGGAGGCTGAAGCAGATGATAGCCCTACCTGGGCTAGAGAGATGCTTCCTCAAAAATATTGTGGGGCTGGAAAGATGAACCAGCAGTTAAAAGCATGAACAGAGGACCCTCATCAAGTGGCTTACAACTTTCTGTAACTCAGTCTCCTGGGGGATCCAATGCCTCTGGCCTCCAAAGTCACCTATGCTCATATGTGCGCGTGCACACACAGAGCCACACAATTTTTAAAGAAATAAAAATCTTTAAAAAATATTGTGTACATATATACATACTTTTTTTGAGACAAGGTCTGGCTGGTCTGAAACTCACTATGTAGACCAGGCTAGCCTTGAATTCACAGAGATCTGCTTGCCTCTGCCTCTCGAGTGCTGGGATTACAGGTTTACCACATTTAGATTTATTTGTACACGTCTTCCTAATTTTAGCAGTGCACATCACAGAGCCACCTCCAGCGGCCATTTCCAACACAGAATTGGACAGCTGAAACTGTACCCAGGAGCCAGGGACACAGCGAAATCCAGCAGGGTATGCATCTAAATCCCTTATCTCTTCCTGGCTCACATCTCAGGCATGCACAGAGTCTGTTGTTTTTTTATTCAGCTTTATCCCCCTTCTAAACCTTCAGCTCTCTTTCACACAAACACTGCCTTCTCTGAGCGTTTGTCATTCCCTTTTCCCTGAGGGAAATCAGAAAGAGCTGATAAAGTGGATCTCTGATCTAGCATTTTATGGTGAGCTAAGCTGAAAAGAGGTTGTGATGTGCAGCCTTGGCTGCTATTGGGGCAAAATATGAAAAAGAATTTTGTTAAAACATTTACATATTGACAGCTGAAGGCAGCATGAAGTTGGGGAAAAAAAGCAACTTTGGCATCAAATGGATTCAAGTTTAGAGTCCCATGCTGTCATTTAATAGCTTCATGTCCTAAAACCTCACTGAGTTCCCATTTAATCTGTAAGATGAAATGATTCCCATTGCCACTCAGCAGTCCTAAGACCACAGTAAGGCCCATGTTCAGAGACTAAGCACATAGACAAGCCTGGATATACTTGACCCTGGATATGGTGGGACCACTCACTGTCTAATTCCTCCACACAGTCTATTTCTAGTAGGGCCACAGCAGGTGCCTCAAGGCTTGTCCCAAACACCCCAACTCCATGGCTGTTTCTTGGTTGGTCTGAGCCTACCACACTAGTTCCATTTTTTCCTTTGTTTTTACTGAATTAGACATGGTGTATGATGCAATTCTAGACCAATGAGATTGAAAGCAGGTTGGCAGGACCTAGGAAGAAACTGTATTTAACTTGTTCTTCAGAGGACATAAGGAGTAGGCGATCCATTTCTTGTCCGTAGATATTGTCATGTCTGGATTAATGCTTGTGACCGTAGCCAGGTTTTAATGAGGGCAAGTTTGAAGAGAAAACCAACACAGAAAGAGAACAGAGATGGATGTATGCTTCTCCACAGTGAGCCACTGCATTAACCAACCTTGGACTTCACATTATCAGAGATGAGTATCCTTTCTTATAGTTGATGCCTCTTTAAGTAGGGTTTTGTTACTTGCAGTGGAAAACAGCCTCAATAATACATGGATCTTTTTGCTTGAAGGTCTTTGAGAGTTCCAGTTCCCGACTCAAAGCCATCAAGTGCTAGCACATAGTAGGGCCTTAACATTTTGTCTCATTTCAAATAAAGACATAGGATAACCTCTTATATCAAGGTGAAAAAAATTACAAAAGACTGTGGGGACCTAATAATGGCTACTTAGATCAAGAGGAAACACATTCCCATGCCCCCCCCCCCGCCAGGACTGAGGATCAAATCCAGGGCCTTGCATGTGCTAGGCAAGTACTCTACCCTTAGGCCGCCCTTTGATATCTAAAATGCATTAAAGCTCACTCCTTCAGAAGCTCCCACGGAAAGAACAAGAGAAAAAATGGACATGGAGGGCAGATAATTCTGCCAATGGAACTGTCACAATTCTACTTGAAGCCTCAGGTTCTGTCTCTGAGATGGGGGTTGGGGATGTAGCTCAGTGGTGGAGCCTTTGCTTAGTATGTATAAGATACTGGGTTTGAACTCCAGCACTGCAAAAAATGATAACCCAGGCGAGAGATGACCTATAAGGGCTCCTCACACTTCCCTGTTCTAGAGTACTGGCAGGTATGAAGTACTTGAAATCACCAACTGCAGGAAACAGGGCAGATCCACCAAGGACAGAAGGAGTAACCAGGTTCCTCCTTGAATGCCAGACTCCCCAAATAGTAGTGATTCCTTGAGAAACTGCATTGAGAAACATTGTAAAATACTCTGTAAGAATGACTGTGAGTGGCCGGCCATGGTGGCGGATGCCTTTAATCCCAGCACTTGGGAGGCAGATCTCTGTGAGTTCGAGGCCAGCCTGGTCTACATAGTGAGTTCCAGGCCAGCTGAGGCTACAAGGAGACCCTGTCTCAAAATGACCCCCCTCCCCCCAAAAAAGGGTTTTGGGTTCTGGATGCCCAAACACCACCAGGAGTGGCAGGGATGTGTACACTCCTGGCTTAATGTATTATTCTCACAGGAACCTGCCAATCACCTATTGTATGTAAAGATGTTAGACTGATTTCTCCTGGGATCTTCTGTAGCAACAAGTATCAGGGTCCTGGTTCACCCACCCTGTCCTCACCTGTGCCATTTTGCTACTTACTCTCCATCATCTAGACTTGCTTCTGTCTATAATTCATCCATCACCTGTCATATCTTCTATTTTAATTTATTTTAAGAGGACAACTTGCAGGAGTCAGTTCTTTCCTTCCACTATGTGGAATACGGAGATCAAACATGTTATCAGGCTTGGTGGCAAGCACCTTTATCGACTGAGCCATCTCACTGGCCCTAAATGCCATGTTTTCTAAGTGTAACTCTGATCCCCTTTTCCTGCAGTCAAGACACAACTATTATACAATAAGCTGTCTAACCAAAAGTGACCTTCCTTTAAAAATTGTGGTCAGTAAACAAACCTGATCATTTCTCTGCTCCGCCTTCTACTTTCCAGTCCTTGGTACCATGCTCCCCTCCCACCCAGTTACAACTCTCAGATGGATGGCCACAGTGTTGATAACAGACAGGGGGTTATTTCATACACGAAGGCACAAGGCTGTGGTACAGCTGACAGGACGAGAGGTGTAATTATATTGCATCTTGGAGCCACGAGCAATGAATTTCTGCATAAAGGACTAGATTTGCCATGTATTATTTATGCCAGCATCAATTTTCCCAGCTGGCTGTATTTACTGTGCAAATTATCCTCTGTCTGTTTATGGGTAAGGCCATGGTTCAGCACCTCTGGTTACTCTATACTGTGGAAGTCCCCACAGGGCACCATGAATAGGAAGAAGGTAGCTGGATTCACCAGGAGCAGGTCATATCCTTCCTCCTTGGTAAATTATATCCCTGGGACAACAGCAAGCTCTCATTCTCACCTAGTCAGGGTGATGCATGCAGGTATGTGAAACCAAATCAGCAAGGGGAAAGGAAGATTCATGGTTCTTTGGGAGCCTCACTGGAGGAAACTGAAAAACAACCTTCTGGGGGCAGGGTAGGGGGGATCAGGTGGCTTTGGGGACTCAGAGGACTTCTTTTTTATATATTTTTTAAGAGTTAGACACAGATGAAAGAGTTTTTGCATTTCTGAGGTTATTTCTATCCAGTAACTCAGCGACAAGAGCTAGGGGAAAGCATCCCGTTTACAGATAGAAAAAGAGGCCAAAATAAACAAAAGAGAGAGGGAAGCAAAGACAAGATTGTGGTTTTTGGCCCAATCACTATGGGAGGACTGGGCTTAGAATCCAGTAGTGAGAGCCACAGGGCCATGCTGCTATCTGTTCAGTCACTGCTGTGACTCTTCCGTGATGTCCCTAGGTAGAGCGAACTCAACTCCCACTGGAAACACAGATGGTGGACACAAAAGAAGGAAATGTGGCACTGCCATGGGCTTCTGGGTCCTCCAACTGCAAGACCTTCTCTGGCTGGCGGGTCCACGTGCTTCCACAAGATGGTAAAGCTGAAGAAATGGAGGCACCTCTTCTTGCAGCCTGACCCTTCTGCAGTGCCAGTGGCCAGCAGTATGACTGAGAGGGAAAGCTGTGAGGTCCGTGACGATGTCCCCTTTCCAATCAACAGCACCAGTCACGTTTGTTCTCCCTGCAGCACTGGACTCTGTTCCGCAGTCCCCAAGGTCCCAATATCTACCACCTCCTGCACCCCTGTTGGCTGGAAGAAGTGATATGAGGGGAGGGTAGGCTGAATTAAGCAATCTAAGAGGTTGGTTTTAGTTTCAGGGTTTCAGCATCTAAGAATTCTTCATTCAGTAAGACACCTGTGGACATGGAAACCATCCTCTCCAGAGCCCAAGATCCCTGGCATCCTCTGGGGCTGGCTCACCTGGCGGGGAGACTTGGTTAGGCACGCTGTGCGCTGGCTGCCGCTGCCTGATGCTCTGGCCCCATCAGTGACGTCCAGGAAAATCCGGGTGCTGGGCACAAAGCTCCATGAGCGTCCCAGAGCAGGTTTGAGCCTCCCACTGCTCCTGTCGCGGGTCAAGTGGTTGGTCACCTGAAGAAAGAGATACAGATTCGTGATGCTAGTAGAGAGGATGCCTGTTCCTGCTGCTTCATTTCACAGACAAGAAACCTGAGATCTTGTGTCAAGAGATGATCCAAGGAGCTATAATGTTATGAGCAGAAAGAAAAACAAATTAACAAAAAAGATCCATTTATATAAACCTCAAGAAAAGGGACAAGCATTGGGACAGAACACAGATCAGTGGCTGCCCGGGCCTGGGAGACCTTTGGTGGGGTAACAAGATAGGCCATAACATAAAAGTTTACTCTGTAGATTATACCTCAATAAACTGAACTTAGAAAGAAAATACAGTCTCAGTGGGTAAAAGCACTTGCTGTGAAACCCTGAATGACCTGAGTTCAATCCCCAGAGCCCATGTAAAAAAGCTGGATGCGGGGCTGGAGAAATGGCTCAGTGGTTAAGAACACTGACTGTTCTTGCAGAAGACCCGGGTTCAAATCCCAGCACCCGCATGGCAGCTAACAACTGTCCATAACTCCAGTTCCAGGGGATCCAACAGCTTCTTCTGTCCTCTGAGGTCATTGCATGACACGGGTGCACTTACCTACATGCAGGCAATACAAGCATACACATAAAATAAAAATAATAAATAAAATATTTTTTTTAAAAAAGCTAGATGTAGTGGTTTGCCATCTGTAGTCCCAGCCCCAGCAGCCCTATAGCAAGATAGGAGGTGGAGACAAGGAGAATCAGTCAGAAACAGAAGTTTAGGGTCAGAAGTACAAGACTGCCTCCCAGACAAGGTGGGCTGGGCATGGTGGCACACGCCTTTGACCCAGCACTCAGAGCCAGAGGCAGGTGGAACTCTGTGGCTTCCAGGCCAGCCTAGTCTATATAATGAGTTATAGGCCAGCCACGGCTACATAGTGAGAGCCTGTCTCCAAAATAAGATGGAAGGAGAGAACTGACTCCTGAAAATTGTTCTCTGACTTCCACATGCATGTTGTGGTACACTTGGATTCACACATGCACATACATACAACATATAAATAAAACATAGATTTTAAAAAAATACAGAAAGAATAGCAAGATAGTCCCTGATCACCTTAGCTATTCTCAGTCCAACCCCTTCCCTGGTGCAGTGAAGCTGGGCTCTGTGCTTTGTCCCTTCCCTTAAGAGCTATTTCCCCCAGAGTTCTAAGCTGACATTTAAGAGAAAACAGAGAGCTAGCTACAACAAAAATCATGTTTATAGGCAGAGCCTCCTCACCACCACTGCCACACCCAGGTCCCGGGCCAGGGTCTTGAGCTCTCGGGCCAGCTGCATCATCAAGGCCAGGCCTAGGGGAAGGAGGAGCAGACAGGGAGGGCAGCAGAAGGCAAGGGGACCAGGCTGGGAGGTATGGTCCCTACCCTGTCCCCAGGCTCTGCCTCACTACTTACCTTCCCTCTGCTGACCTCCCAGGAGTGGGGCAACTACCGCAGTGACTGAGTCCACGATCACCACCTTTACAGTTCCTGAAGAACCTGTCACCTGGAGGGACCAGGAGAAGCAGGCACCATAAACCAATGACCTCTATGGGGTGCCTAGGACAAGTTTCTCTATTAGAAGTCAGTCAGAGGGACTGGAGAGATCGCTCAGGGGCTAACAGTGCTTACTGCTCTTGTAGAGAACTGGGGTTCAGGTCCCAGTACCTACATGGCAGCTCATAACCACCTGTAACTCCAGTTTCAAGGGAACCCACACCTTCTTCTTGCCTCTGTATGCTCCTGCATGTATATGATCCACATAAGCTCACACAGGCTGCCCCCCCAAAAATTGTAAAACCTTAATTTAAAAATAAATAGGTCAGGCTTGGTGGTGCATGTTTTTAATCCCAGCACCTGGGAGACAGAGGCAGGCAGATCTCTGTGTGTTTGAGGCCAGCCTGGTCTACATAGCAAGTTCCAGGGCAGCTGGTATTACAGGAAGACCCTGTCTCTAACCAATCAATCAATCAATCAACCAACCAACCAACCAACCAACCAACCAATCTTGGTCTACATAGTGAGTTCTAGGCCAGCTGGTGCTACAGGGAAACCCTGTCTCAAAAATAAATAAATCTTAAAAAAAAAAAAAAAGTTGCAGGTGTGGTAGCACATGCCTTTAATCCTAGCACTCGGGAGGCAGAGGCAGGCGGATCTCTGTGAGTTCAAGGCCAGCCTGGTCTTCATAGTGAGTTCCAGGACAGCTGAGGCTACAGGGAGACCCTGTCTCAAAAAGACCAAAAAAAAAATAAAAAAGAAGTCAGTCAGAGGCAAGCAAGATGGCTCAGGGGATAAAGGCACTTGCCTCATAGGCCTAATAACCTCAATTTGATCCCTGGAATCCATGTGAAGGGGGAAGGAGAGAACTGACTCCACAAAGTTGTCCTCTGACCTCCACATACATGCTGTGGGATCTGTGTACACACACACGGACACACACAGACACACACACACACACAAATAATAAAGTTTAATGAAAAATTAAAACAAAAGTCAGTTGGAAACAGCCTCTCTCACCCAAATGCCGTTCAAAACATTCCTTTCCTTTCCCTGTAAACAGCAGTCTGAACAAGTTCAGTTACTGGGCAGAAATCTCCCAATGTCAAAGTGAGCCCAGCCCCTGGTCCAAGATGTGTAGATGTGTGTGTGTGTGTGTGTGTGTGTGTGTGTGTGTGTGTGTGTGTGTAGCTTGATTCTGCCTATTATTTCACCAATTTAAACAAAAAGTTCTTCAAAACGGACTTTCCAGAAATCTTGATT